AGCCACCCAGCCAGCGGGTGCGCGGCCTCGCTGGGCTGCCGCCGGCCCCAGGCACCCGCAAGCACCCATTCCCCGAGCTGCCAACAGCCGGGTTGCACGCACCGTTTGGTGGCACCTGAGGCACTTGGGGTGGGAGAAGTGGTCGGGGGCTTTCTATAGCACTGGGAGATACTGGGAGGGACTGGGAGGCAGAGCTATGGCAAAGGGAGGGCTAGAGCATCCCCATGCTTGGTGTCTCTGGGGAAATCACAGGTGGTGGGACAATGGCCTGGAGCTGGTGGCCCAATTAGCAGGATGCCACCACTCTACACCATGCTGGGAGTCTAGCAGCGAGTAGGCATCACGCACATGGAGGGGGTCTGGGAATGCCTGGGGCCTCCGGCACGGCAAGACAGGGAGGCCGGGACTGCTGAGGATGAGGCAGAGCTGATGCTCTTGAGGGTTTTCCCCATGAAGGGATCGGGCTACCTAGACAACACCTCCCCACCGCTTCGTGACAGCCCGGCAAGGGGGCTCGGACCGGCCAAAGAGTGCAGTGGGACTTCCGACCCCGCTCACCTGGCCCCACGTGCCGGCAAACGCGCTCCGGATGCAGAGCGACCTGCAAAGCTGCACGCGCTATTTGTACAGCTACATCCTGCCCGAGGCGAGAGGAAACGGGAGCTGGAGGCACCCCGCGCCCTCGCCTCCCGAGCGCAGGAAAGGGAAGGCAGACGAGGGGTCGGGCTCCTTTGCCCCATCAGTGGGTGACCTTTCAGGGAAGGCGGTGGAAGGCAAACCCCAGCCGGTCAAGCCCCTGGTTCGCAGGGACGACGACCCCCAGGGAGGAAAGGGTGCATCTGCCCGGGGAGTCTCATGCGAACGGGCACCCTGCTTGCGGAGCCAAACAGCCCCGACCACCAGCGCCGAGGCGAGAGCAGCCCGCGGGATCCTGTCTGCAGCTGAGTGGCAGCAGAAAAAGGACTTTGGCCCCGGGGACGCCGAGCCGTGGCCAGCAGGACAGCCGCCACCTGCGTTTCTCTGCCTGACAACAGCACAAGCTGAGCCTGGCACGTCGGAGCGTCCGTCTCCGTTTCAGGCAGCGAGACAGGCGTTGGGGCTGGGTCTCGGAGCCGGTCCGACAGATGAAAGCAGGCGCCCCTCGGGACCATGGTATTTTCCACGTTCTCCGAAATCCCAGTTAATTTATCCTGCCTAAGCCGCCAGCCCGAGCGACACAGGAGATTACATTTTGACAGCTGCTCATGGAAAATTCAGCTCCCTCCCTCCCCCTGGAGCCTTTTCCGCCCTCCTCCCGCACACCTAAAAAAAGAGAGAGGAAGGACCCAGCTATTTCTGCTCGCCGGGGCCCCGTAGGCTGGTGCGTGGGCTCCGCGGATGCCCGTCACCCTCCTGCCCCCGGGGCCTGCCCCCCCCCGGCACAAGCTGGCACGGCTTCCCCCCGCGGAGGCAGATGTGCAGGCAGAAAGGGGAAGGTGGGCACCGGCGGGGAATACGGTGCCATCCCGCCAGCTGGCTCCCACAAGGCAGAGAGCCCCCAGGGCACAAGCTTGCAAGAGGGGACGCTGCCAGGCAGGAGGGACACTGGTCACCAACAAGACATTGATAGCTGGGGACAGATAAGGAAAGGGTTTGCTGGGGGAAGAGGCAGTGGGGCTGCTCGCAGGGCACCAGCTCCCTCCTGCCCCATTCGCCAGCAGCGGGGAGGAGACAGGGAAGAGGTGGAAGAGGGCATTTGGAGGCAGAGAAGACATGCCAGAGGGGAACAGGAGGAGACCACGTGCCCGAGTGGCCACCCTGCTCACAGCTCTCCGGGCCATTTCCCCTCTGGAGCAGAGAGATCTGGACACAGGCAGCAGGTTTCTCCATGATCTCCCCCTCCAAGCCTCTCTGCCTCCTAGCAAAGTGCCCCGAGTAACCCATAGGGCCACTTCCAAACAGCCTCGGGGCTGGCGGGGACCTGCTGCTCTCGGGTCCTCCTGGGCCCCACCAACACAAACTTCACAGGCGGTCTGTGGCACTCCCAGCTCCAGCCTCCCTCCACCGCCAAATCTCTCCTGGAGCTGCTTTTTCCCACGTGCCGGCTCCTGAAGGACAGATGACCTGTGAACACGCTGGTGGCACGCAGGATTTGAGGACAAGGTACGCCGCAGGAGACTTTGAGAAAGCCAAGGGCTTTCCAGGGCTGCAGACATACATTGGCAGGTGATATCATCTCTCCAATGGCTTGGTCTAGAAACCGTGAGCAAGCAGTACTTACGCTCTCTGAGGGCTAGTGCACTCTGAGTATTTTTAGGAAGGTTAGATGGTTAATTTTAGAGAGCCACATGAAGCAGAGCTGGGAACCTCTGAAGCCTCCACCAGGTCCTAACAGAGCTGAAAAAGCCCAACAGTTAACCCTTGTGGTGCCAAAAGTATCATAGCTCAGGCCGGGGTTGGGGGGGGGGGGGGGGGGGGGGGGGAGGCAGCAAACACGGCCTTAAAAACACAGCCAAGGTTATACTTGATTTGAAATGGTTACTAAAGCGGGGATAGGAAACGCCTGCCTCCTCCAGCCTGCCCTCTGCCTTTCTCCACTGGTAGTCCATACCCAGTGAGTCCACCCCACAAAGCTGTACCCCAGCCATGCCCACACAGTGCTTATTAAGGACACTGGCAAGCCCCAAAATGCAGGGCCCCCCCACAGCGACTCAAAGTTTTCCTCGGATGCAGGGAGAAGTGCAGCAGACGGAGCAGTTGTGCTGCCACGGTCGCCCAGAGCCCTCGAGAAGGAGCAGACCTGACGTGGCGCGGCCCTGCACATCTCCAGGCGCTGCCATTGAGTTTGTGCTGACGCCCAGGAAAAGCAACACTTTTGCCCAGGAACACGGCTCACCGTGCCCCTCGTCCTGGGGCATGGGCTGGCCGGCCTCCCACTGATGCAGCCTTCTCTCCACGCTTTTCTCTAGGCTGGGCCACATCCACCTTGCCCAGCCAGGCCTGCTCCTTCTGGCCACCGAGCTTTGGGCCAATGAGGAATGTCTGAAATAAAGAGCTATTTTGGTGCAGGTTATTCTGCAATGGCCATTTCCATCAGTGCTTCAAGGAACTGGCACACATCTTCCCTGGGAAGAGCCACTGCCTGCAACAGGGACACACATGAACTTCTACATCGGTGACATATCATGCAGAAAACACATGACCCGTACAGTCTACTCGGTCCTTGCAACACAAAGGTAGGGATTTCCACGTGGCAGTAAAGCCAGGTCCCCAGGGCGCTGTGTTTCTACAGGTGATGCCTGCAGCAACCCCCATGGCTCAAAGAAGCTACCAAGCACTGTGATGGGGGTCAACTGCCCTCTGGCTGGCCTTCTCCTTCCCAAAGCCCTCGGTGGATGCCTCGCCTGGGTGCCACACGCTGAAAGACCAGAGCAAAACCCCCAAGCCTGCATGACAAAGTGACACAGATGCCATCCGCTTCTTTCCCAGGCAGACATCTGGAAGAGAGCAAACAGGAAGGACGTGACAGCCCATCACCTAGATAAAACAGACAGCGCGGCAAGACAAGAAGCACCAGGCAGCCCTGACAAGAGGATCAGAGGCGAACAGCGAGGAGTCAGCACGCCTGCCACGAGCGCTCGGCAGCACAGGTTATCTCTGGAGATGCAATCTGGGGCACATCCGTGAACGGAGCATCACCTTCACCTCTTGCCCTAGTTGCTGAGCACCAGCCCACACGGCGTCCCGGTTTGCAGCTTCCCCTCCGCCGCGACAGCGCAGCCTGCTCCCTCCGATCCCCAGCGAGGGGTCCCCACCCAGGCTAGCCTTGGCCAGGTCTTGTCGCTTGGGTTCGTTCCTAGCAATGCCAGGCTAGGCCTTGGGAATGGAAAATGCTGTGCCCGACCTTTTGAGAAAGGCTCCCTCTTAGGGGACAAGAGAGATGCCATCCACGAAAGCCGTAACACCATTCCCAACAGCAGAGAAAGGCACATACAGTATTTGCACACACTCTCCAAACCCTCTGTTAGTTAGATGTGCATCCAGATGGCCTATAAATGTAATCAGAGGCAATTTTATTAATAATTCCTTCCTTTATTTCTGAAATCACATCAGATTCCTCCGGAGAAGATGAGGCAGGGAGCTTCCCTGAGAGCACAGCGCAAAGCATCGTGATTATAACCCCTCTGCCAATGCTTTTGCTGTGCAAGGAGGCTGCTCCTTTCTCAGGCGAACGCAGCAGAAGAGCACACAGGATGCGCAGCGGCAAGAGAAAGCCTTCACGCCCACAGGCTGAGGCAGCACCCTCCAGCTGCAGCCCCGTAACCTGGGTACCGAGTCCCTGAAGTAACCTGGCGCAGAGCGCGAGGAGGGGGGTAAAGGGACCTCACAGGGGGATGAAGAAAAGGCTTCCCAACAGTAATATCTTTGGTGGTACCATCCGACACTTTGCCCTTGAAGCTTCACCTTGTGCAGGAGGCTGCGCAGCCACGCAACGATCCCAGGCTGCGCAGGGGCCTCTTTGGTCAACAAGGCCACAAAGTTTCCAGCCTTGCCCGCTGTGCCCAGGCTCTCCATAGATCACTTACAGGTTGAGACTAGGTCACTTCAGGATCATTTACAGCACTGGCAGGAGAAGGGGCATTGCCCAGGCATCAGGAGACCCTGGATCTATTTCTAGCAGATGGTCTAAATGCAGGGAACAGCATCTTCACCGCTGAGCTGCACCCTGAGCTACAAGAGGAAAATGCTCAAGTCAGAGCTTGTGGGGTATGACCAGCTCCGAAAGGAGGAGGAAAGCAGGAATCCCTGAGAAACCTGGCCAGGAGAAGGATGCATGAAACCACTCATTAACCATTTGCAGCCCACAAGCAGATTTGCTCCGTGATGCAAGGTCCAAGCGAACAGATACAACACAGGCTGGACACAGCCAACGCACAGCCTGGAGCCTCTCTCACTTTGGCTCAGCCTGCTGGTGCCTCCTGCCCCAGCCTGCTTGGAAGTGCGGGAGATGTAGGAGTGAACCAGCAAACAGAGCAGGAACTAGGAAGGGCTAGCTCACTGCAGAGGGGCCGGGCATACCCCAGCCCGCTCAGTGCTGGGCTGAAGCTTAGGTTAAAGTGTCATTAGGCACACAGGAGTTCAGCCCCCAGCTCCCAAACCGTTGACGACAGACTTGAACCTCGGTGAACCGTGAGCACCATACAAGACAGCTGTATGCAACAGGCATGAATTTGCCCTTTGACTTGCAGAGGTTTCCAGGTTCAGTCTCCTGACGCATCGCAGGGAACAAGTGAAAGAGCTCTCCAGCGTGGACTGTGGTGCCAGGGAAATCTTCCAACATGGATGCTCAGGAAGAGCATCCCCAGAAGCAGTCTCTGCCCTCTCCAGAATCCGCAGGGAGAAGACATCCCAGCAAAGCTGCTGAAATGAGGATCAGATTCTGCTCTGTGCTCTTCTGCAAGGGTATTTCTCATTCGCGAAGGAGCGGCAGCTCTCGCAGCCTTTCGGTACTCGTTGTTCCTTGGAGCCTCTGGGAGTCTGTGCACGGCTGCAGGCGGTTGTGCGACGCAGATGTGTGTACTTACCAATCCCATGAAGTACAGAATAACATTTACAGAAGGGATTACTGACTGCCCAAGATCCCACCTACCGCAGCGAAGGAAGCTAGGAGCCTTGCGAGCCTTGCTCAGCAGGCGCTGGCTAAACACACTCTGAAACAAGGCTGGCCAAAATACCCTCGCCCCAAGAGCAGTGCCTGGCAGCCACGTCACTCTCCCTGTGCCCCGTCACCCCATAGGACATGGCAGCAGAGGGACATCCTTTGAGCTCCTCCTCAAGACAGTTTAGGGTAAGCCTTCAGACGTCTGTTGGAGGTCTGGTAACCTCGGCCAACCAACCCATGTCTTCAGAGAGCATCCTGGGCTCCCATCCATGGGCCTTCCCTCCAGCAGCTCCTTGGCTTCATGGTAGCCCTGCCCATTTACACCAGGTGAGGATCTTTCCTTACCCCTCAAGAGCACAAGTGCAACCCAGCACAGACCAGACAGGCTCTGCTACATCCTAGCTCCATCCCTGGCTCCCAGAGTCCCTGGGGCCTGGCAGGGGTCAGACAGCCTAAGTTCTTGCATATAGAAAATGAAGCACTACACGGGAATGGGAAGTAGTACTGGTGCTGGGACACATGCAGAGGTTTAACTCCACTTTTGCTTTTGCAAAGTGGAAGTAGATATAGAAAAAGGAGATGACAAACATGATCAAAACAGAGACACGCTCCAACAGTGACAGGAGCTTGACAGGATCCTGCTGCAGCCCAAGGAGGGAAGTGATCACGGAGGAGTCATCCTCCTTGCTAGCTGAGGGAAGGAAATCGGCAGAGCCAAGATACTTAGACCCAACCTCTCCCACTTGGCTAGAAAATAAATTCCCTATTAGTTTAAGGTGGTCTCATTGTTTCAGAGCAATGGTCCCAGGACAGCACGTGACAAGGCACATGAGCAGAGCACGTCTCCATCAAGACATTTCCAGCACTACAGCAAAACCGCTTTGGCATCGCAGGGATCTGGTAGCTGAGGACCTCCACTGGGATCCTCTTCCTAGAGCATCACTCAACATCAAAGTGACATTCCACCGACCCCTGGACATCTGGCTGGGTCACTGAGTACTTAACATTCAGCTGCAGCTTCAGAGGAGGTGCAGGCACAGCACCTCCTCTGCACCTGGAGGAACAGCCACCAAATGTCCCGCCTAGAGAGGACATCCACCTCAGTCCTAGCTGCCACCCAGCCATCCTCTCAGAAACACTGAGCCTCCTCCCTACCAGCCCCTCATCACATCACCAGGGGGTTCATGACACTTGTTCATCCAGCTACACTCTTGTTAATTCATGCATGGCGTCACAAATATCCACCCAACGCTATCCTCCACCAGTGGCCTTCCATTGAGCCAGCCCAGCGTGCCTTTCCCGGAGGGTGAACGGCATCTCCCCACCAGCTGTCTCTTCCTCTTGTACAATGCATCCTGCATGGCCTCCGTGCCTGCCAGGGACCTTCCCACGCCACTAATCATCCCCTGCTTCATTCTGGACCGGCTCCTTCTCCCACTCTATCAATCACTGTTAAATCAGCTTCTGCGGGGACCTGTTTTCTTATCATGCTGGCTTGACTTGCTGTGCACAGTATTCCCCAAGAGCACAGCTTAGTACTCGCGGGGTAAACTAGCCACCTCATGCAAAGCAGCCCTCATGCAAAGCAGCTCAGAGAACAGAGAGCGGCGTGTGCTAACGGCGAGGTCGGGCAAAGAGCGCAAATCAGGGAGGGAGGGCAAAGAAGGAAGGACTTTCACTACAATAACTTTTGCAGTGACTCGGGTTTCTCCCGGAAGAGCCTCCACCGCAGAGTTTGTTTTCACATCACTCAAAACACTGATACATTACCTGGCCCCAAAGACTAACAGAAATAAATGCTGCCTGGACGAGCTGGGCGGCGCAGCACAGAGCGTTGGCAGCACCCAGGCTTCCCCGGCTGCACGCGCTGCTTCGGCCCAGGGCTGGAGGGCAGCAAATCCCGAGCAAGGCTGAAACTCTGCGGCACACGCCTGCCTTGCTGGGGGAGCAGTGGGCCACTGCCTGCTCATGCAACGCGTGGGAGGTGAGCACAACCCAGCACGCCTGCTTCGGTTTTCGTGAGCGGCAAGGTTCAGCCAGCAAAGCGCAGCACTAAGGAACGAGCGCATGGGAAACCATGCTGGTTCACACCGTTCCTCCACGCTGCAGAGCACCTTTGGTCTCCGTCTCTGCCTAACAGGCAAAAGCCCGAGCTGTTTCAAGATGAAGCTAAAGAAGCTCTCGATCCAGCTGTGCCAAAGCCAGGAACTACAGGAAAAAGCTAAGGCCCTGAGTGCAAGTCAGCAGCTAAGCAGGAAGTGTCTTCATGCCAGTCATGCCCAAGAGCTGAACACAGCCTTTGGGGACCAACAGGCTGAG